GATGCGGCAGTTTGCAATAACGGAGCATGCTTCAAGTTTCTTTTTATCATGTTTAAAGGATTAAGTCAACCGGTTATTCTTGGAACTCATTTCCTAAATATGTTTTACCCTATCAAAATTGATGATACCGGTCTTGAGGCCAACATTGAGGGACATGAGGTAAAATTTACCTTCATAGATAAGCCTAGAGTTCATGAAATAAATAACATTAAAAATAAAATCTCTATCAAAGAAAAAAAAAAATTTTATCTAAAAGAGGAAATCAGGTATAACACTATTGAGGAAAAATTACTCTCCTTTTCAAAACTATTCTCCAAAAATAAATATGTTCTGATGTCCCTAACGCTTTTTGGAATAGGAAGCAACATATAGTTGAACTTCCCTATGAACCACGTTTTGAGGAACAAAAAATTCCTACAAAAGCAATACCTATCCAAATGAATAGTCGGCTCCTTGAAATTTGTAAAACTGAAATACAAGAATTGCTTGATAAAAAACTTATCAGAAAAAGTTTCTCACCTTGGAGTTGTTCAGCCTTTTATGTTGAGAAGACTTTTGAACGAGGAGCCGTTAAATTAGTTATAAATTATAAACTATTAAATAAAGCATTAAGATGGATTCGATGTCCAATTCCAAATAAAAGAGACCCCTTAGATAGATTGGTTAATGCCTGCATATTTTAAAATTTTGACTTAAAATCTAGATATTGGCAAATCCAAATAATTGGAAAGGACAGATATAAAACAACCTTCAATGTTCCATTCGGGCATTATGAATGGAACGTTATGCCTTTTGGTTTAAAAAATGGACCTTCTGAATTTCAAAACATCATGAACGATATATCCAATCCTTATACAAAATTCATGATTGTATATATCAATGATGTTCTTGTTTTTTCTGAAACCATTTATCAACATTGGAAACATCTAAACACATTTTTTAAAGCTGTTAAAAATGCTAGGTTAGTTGTATCAGCCAAAAAGATAAATTTTTTTCAAACGAAAATAAGGTTTCTTGGACATAATATTTATCAAGGGAGGATAATTCCTATTGATAAGGCAATTGAATTTGCGTCAAAATTCCCATATATCATTAAGGACAAAACCGAACTTCAACAGTTTCTTGGTTGCTTAAATTATATCTCTGATTTTTATAAAGACATTGCTTTAGATGCTAAACCTTTGTTTCAGCGGTTAAAAAAGAATCCTCTTGATTGGACGAGCGAGCATACCAAGGCACTCAGAAAACTAAAATTGAAAGCAAAAGAACTACCTTGCTTGGCTTTGTCTAAATCCTACAACGTTTAAAATTATTGAAACTGACGCCTCAGAACAAAGACTAGGAGGCATACTCAAACAAAACCTCCATGAGCAAGAACAATTGGTTCGTTATACTTCCAAAACCTGGAACCCAGCTCAACAGAACTATTCTACTGCTAAAAAAGAAATTATGGTCATTGTTCATTGTGTAACTAAATTTTAGAGTGACCTACTAAATCAAAACTTTCTTATTCGTACTGATTATAAGGTATCCAGAGATATCCTTGAAAAAGATGTAAAAAATCTTGTCTCAAAACAAATATTTGCTCGATGGCAAGGTATTCTTTCATCATTTGAATTTACAATAAAACACATTAATGGTAAAAACAACCATCTTCCTGACTTTTTTACTAGAGAATTTTTGAAGGGAGGGTAGGAAAAGGCAAAATCACCCAATGGATATAGTTCTCAGTCCGGGTAAAGGCCTGATTTCACCAAATCATCCAATAAATATAGTTCTCTGTCTAGGAAAATACCTGTCTACACCATCAACTCCAAATGCTTTAATAAGAAAGCAAGTACAAGAGATTGATATATCTCCCCAACAATCCCCTTTAAGCACTAATAGTCCGAGTGCTAATAGAACTCCTTTTCTTGAAACAACTTATATACCACTTATAATTGTTGAGAATGATCACAAGGCAAAAGACCCTACTGAGATAGCATCAATATATCTACGAAATCACCTTCATTCCAATTTGGGAGAAAATGTAGAGAATGATACGAAATCATACTCATGGAAACTGGATCTGTGACTATAGTGCACCACTATAGAAATAATGATGCTGAAATTGCATACTCAAACTTCCAAATTCATAAAGTTATCTCCTATAGAGACTGGGGACTGGATCATTTAAAACCAAAGATATTAAATACCAGAGGATTTAAAACTAAATACTATCATTATTTCGAATATATAAAAGCATGGGATGAAGTATTTGCATATCAAAATACCAAGACTTCACATACTTGGTACATATAGTTTAAAATAACTGAACTAGTTGAATTCCCTAACTGGTTAAAAACTTGGTTCTTTTTATGGGGATCATGTAGCCAGATACGTCCTTCAAAAATGTAGATATTATAGAGAAAGTTATTTGACTACAATAAACATTGTCTAAAAAGAGACTATCATTTATACTTCATGACCTTATATCAGGTCACTTAGATGCTTAAATGGACATATCAGCTTTCAAAAGATGATATGGACAGATGAGATTATATTCCAGAATTACGCTGACAAATATCAGTAAAATTGTGGGACATCTATAAAAATATCTCCCTGGATCCAAAAAAAATTTATATGAAATGACACCATCCTCCTCGCCAAATTCCAGTATGGATATAACAGCATACGTTGCAATGATACAACAAAAGAATCCTAAATTATCAAAGGCAGAACTTAAAAGAAAGCTCCTATTGGCACTAGAAGAAAATGTTGATCAATTGTCCACATCAACAAAAGAAGAAGGAACTGAGGATTATAGTCTGCTCAATGGTAATGACTGTGCAGGAATTGATTTTCCTCAAAATAACTAAAAGAGTGTAGCATAGACGGTACGACTCCAAACCTACGTAGGACACGTGTCCCTAAAACCGTCAACAAAAGATAATTGCATTATAGCCACCGACAAATTATTGCTATCGACAAAACTTTTCACTATAGCAAAATACGTGGTACCATTTCCACCATGCTAAGGGAATCTTACTTTTCCTAAAGGTAAGGGAATCTTACTTTTCCAAAACGTATCGTTGCGGATTTGAAACGCTTTGGAATCCAATTACTTCTCATTTATAAAAGGAGAAGGCCAGAAGGGAGAAGGGCATCCGAAAAACAGCCAGAGTATTTGAGTGTTTGTTTTGTTTGAGTCTTTGTAAGTTGAGTGCTTGTAAGTTGGAGTGTTTGTCTGAGTATTGGTGCGTATTGGTTTGAGCAGAAGTGAACCACTTTGTTGGTGCATCAAACTTATATTATCTGTATCATGTAAGTTTCATGTTTCTATGTTCATTAGCTTTCATATGTTTGCTGCTGTTGTTCTTTAGTTCTATTTACTGCTATTAATTGTTTGTTTATTTG